ATCGCTCACCAGTCAGTCCCCTTACCCTACACGCCCAATTGTTCGGTATTTCGTTCCAAATAAGTTAAATATCCTGTCGAAGACTCGCACTATTAGCGCCATATTAATGTGTCCGAGAAAGCTTAAGCCTTAATACATAATTTCCATATTTTCAATAATACAACTACGAGAACGTCTGTCGTAACAGGGCGAGTGTATTTATTACAACAACAAGCACAAGATAGGGACGCACACCGAATTGAGTCAGCATGGCTTCGAGACCCCTTGGGACATCGAAGATCTTGTGGAGCTTGGCAGGGAAAAGAAAGCCTGTCCCTACTTCGCCGCGAAGAGTCTCATGCTGGATTCGCACATCATTTTCTGTCCTTAGCCCTACAGACCGACAGACTGATGGACAGATCGATCGACCGACTGACTGACCGACCGACCGACCGACCAATCAACCAACCAACCAACCAACCAACCAACCAACCAACCAACCACCGCCACCACTACTTGGCTACGATGTTCCAACCTACCTTTCTCGTTCTTAATTATTCCGTTTATCGTATGGTCAAAGCTCAGCGAGCGCAAAGCTCAATCGAGGCTTAAGGGATGGCGCGATGATCGAGCTTTGGGAAATCCCGCGCGACATCGATGCAAATATCAATGCCCCGATATTGTTGTATGGAGGTCCATTGCGTTTGATAAGCCGAATGGATGATTTGCTCGTCAAGGCCACAGCCTCGATATTAAAATTAAAATCCTATGATCGATAAGAAGTGGCGTTCCAATCCCGACATCCGCGTAATTTTCGTGTTGATAAAGTAAAAATATGCAATATTAAAATCAATGGCAATAATATGAGTGTTTTAGCATTAAGTGGTTAAATACGTAGTAGCGTGCAAATGTTAGATATTATTGATCGGCGAATTGTAATTCAATTCAGTGAGCGTGTAACGATATTTTCATGACAGTTTTACCGAACTAAGCTCCGGATGGCTACAACACCCGAGGCAATATATTTTGAATTTAATTTATTTAACGCCAAAATGAGCGGTTTGAATTTCGTTTTGCAAAGCCTTGAATTGTTTAAAACTCATTAAAAACTCATTTTATCCTTAATTTTAGATCGCATGCCTTATTTGGCCTGTAAAGCCATTTGGGAACTATGGCAAATATGGGATTAAACGTGATTTTAAGCATTTAAAAATGTTAAATGTTTAAAATGACTGGTTAATAATTTCAAATCCTTCATAAATTGCCATTACTGTTAAGCTGATATTCTCCTTATCGTTTCGCACTATCGTTTCAATCAGATGCAAATCAATTTAACGGGCGATGTCGTTATCATTGACGAAGGGCACAATATAGAAGACATCTGTCGAGAAATTGGAAGTTATATTTTTCGAGAAGACCATTTGAACGAAGCTATTAAGGATTGTAATACAGTTTATCGGGCAAGGCCGAACAAAGCCTACGACTCCATATCTCAATATCTTACCACCTTGAACACTTTAATTAGCGATCAAGACTTACAAAGTCCGGTAAGTGTTTTTCCCTTATTTTTATTCTCCTCGCTCTAAATTCTTTATTTGAACGTAAAATTTACAAGAATCACTACAAATATAGTCGATGTCAAATTAGAAGAATGAGAAAATAGGATTATTTACGACTAAGAGATTCGTTAATTTAATATTGTATAAATTTTTAACCAACATGTAACGTAAGACGACACAATTTTATAGAAAAAGAAAAAAAATTATTATCGAGTGTTTAATCTATTTACACATTATATACGAGCTCATTCATTTCTTCGTTTCATTTTTATTTACATCCTCGTGATGAGGATTCATTCTTTATTCTTTAAAGACACGCTGTTTTACTCTCTCTCTCTCTCTCTCTCTCTCTCTATCTCTCTCTTTATCTCACTTCCTCACTTATCCTCTCTATTCCTTCACTCCCCAAATGTCGCCAATCATTTCAAGTTCTATATTTTATTATTTTATTATTTTCCATTGCCTTTTTGTTTTTTGATTTTTTTTTTTTTTTTTTTTTTTTTTTCCCTTTCCTTTTTTTTTTTTTTTTTTTTTTTTTTTTTTTTTTTTTTTTTTAGATTTCTATTTATTCAAGTGTTAAATAAACCTGAATACGGTATTAATCAATTAAACAGTGAATGAAGATTTTATGAAAAATTTTGAACTGAAATTGTATTTTCATTTTTACTTTCTCAATAATCTCTCAGTAATCTCTTGACGAAGCAGCTGACTTAAGCTACTTCTTATATACTTATACTTTCAAGAATTTCGATATTTTAATCAAACACACCTGTTTGTGTATGACTAATAATAGACTCAATCCATCGATGCAAATTCTCGGCCCAAATGTACCACTAATTACATCGAATGAAAATTGATGAAATTGATAATGTGCGCAGATAAACCCGTACGAGGAGACGACGAGCACCTTTTGGAACGGCGAGGAAACTTGGATGCTCTTCAATACCTACAAACTGGCCGACGATGCCTACTCGGAGTTCATAAGTGATTCCGAGCAGGCGATCTCCGATTACAGAGCGATGAAGGAAGATATGAAATTACCGAGCAGAAAAAAGGACAATGTCGCCATCACCACCATCAACTTCGCGACGGTAAAGCTGCTCGAGCAATTGAAAGACGCCCTCAACTACGTCAAGAGTCCCGAATCCAATATGAGCTATCGCTGCACCATCTCCCAGGCTCATCATCAGGAATCCAAGGTCAGCGTCGGCAATGCACGACATACCACGACTGATGAATTCACTCGGCAGTAGACCGAGATCATTGGCATAGAACGATGTCGCCAATAACGATTTCTTTCATCCGCTAATTCTATTTATTAAGTCGAATATAATTCGTGCGAACAACAATCCTTACTAACCGTCGCATATAAAATTCCATTCTACTAATAGATAACTTTATTAATTTACGAGGCAAACGATGAGGATTGGAGCCGGTGGGCTTGTTTGTTTGTTTGTTTGTTTGTTTTTTTGTTTTTTTGTTTTTTCGTTTTTTTGTTTTTTTGTTTTTTTGTTTGTTTGTTTGTTTTTTGTTTAATAATAAGGACCGTATGAGCTTAGGTCTCGGATGGGTTGTGGACGAGAGTAAAGGATGGGAAACGACTGCGCAGCCTCAAGTTCATGTGCATGAACGCAGCGGTGGTGTTCGATAAACTCAGGAAGGGGACGCGGTGCCTGATTCTGGCCTCGGGCACCCTCTCCCCGACTACGAGCTTCGAGGGTGAGCTTGGCACTAGGTTCCTCCACAAGGTCCACGCGAACCACGTGATTGCCAAGGATCAAGTGTACGTGAGGGCGATACCACGAGGGCCTACGGGTGTTAAGCTCAGGGCTACCTACCAAAACATCCAGACGCTACCCTTCAAGGTGACCGCACATCCGCTCCATTCGATAACTCTTTTATTTACAAATCATTGCCACTATTATCGTGTTTATCGTTGTCTGGGATCGGACTATAAAACCTTCCGGTGATGTTTAGTTGGGTTGGGTTTGGTTTGAATGGGTGGGGTGGGGTGGTGGTGGTGGCGGTGGCGGCGGTTGGAGGGGGAAGGGGGAGGGGGGAGTTGGAATTGCTGGCAAGTGGAAGAGGAAGGCGCATTATTAATTACATACTTACGTAATAATAACACACAGCGTATCTTGACTTTTCTATTTATTTTCCGACTACAATGATATATGATTATAAGGTCGTGTTGGAATCTATGAAATCCTTGCAGTATTTTTCACGTGGTGATGGCATTTACTATTCCCAGCAGCAGGAGGTGTAAATTTCTATACTTCCTTGAGTAGTGCCACGCGTTGGTGACTATCTATAATAATTTCCCCTTGAAGCCGAGACGAATACTTTCAATTGCGGCTGATCGCGGGACCTTCGGAACTGATTTTCCTTACTAGACTCGTGCGCCTTTAATATGTATTTTCCCTTTTTATTAGCTTCACCGTAAATGTGTTTATCTTACCTAAATTTGGTGATAAAGTGTTGGCGTTGCGCTTCAATTAATATTCATCCTTGAATTACACTTAGCACTCGTGTCTGTTTGAATATAACACACTTGAATGATTACAATTACTTATGGCTTCACTGTTGGCTTATTAGATTATTATTTTATAGTTGTCAAGCTATGTAGGTATATTATAATTAATTTACTGGTATGTGGCGGAATTAATAACTGACTATTGATTGGTCGAGAAATGATAATGAGCGATTAATGATGACCGAATGATTGATAAGAATACAGTGAGCCCCGGAGCGTGGCGAACTGCCCTTAAATATTAGCGTGGCGACTTGCAACGCTGGCAGCAGTGCTCGAGCTTGTTGCTAGGCCGTAAATGTTGATGACGTCACAACGAAGCTGCAGAATTTTCGGAAAGACTAGAAGGACAATGCCTTGGACGTTTCGAGAATTGTTAATCGTCGTTGCTATGCGGAAATATTATTGTAGAACGCTAGAGAATAAGACGTAGACTAGTTGAGAATTCGCCGAATCAATGTTTACAAACATAAGCGGCCGAGAGCTTGTACTTTTTATATTTTTAAAATTCTTTGACGTTGCTCCAATTGCCGAACGATCGTTTCTATGCTCTTCTTATTGCTTTTATGGGTCAATCCTTCAATTTTCCAATATAGAGGCTGATCGGCTCGGTGATCGGTACTCACCTCCTGCTGTAATATTCACTTGCATACAACCAGGCAGTGGTACAAAAGCCAATAAGCAATTATTTAAAATGTAAATTAAGGAGAACTTTTGCTATTTATACCAAATATCCATTAAGGAAATAAAGAAAATGTGCATTTAAATTTTTTTTTTTTTTTTTTTTTTTTTATTTTTTTTTAATAATAATCCTCGCAAGCCTACGTATGCTTATGTATGTTCCCTGGAATTTATTAACGATTTTTAAGAAAGCACTTCGTTGTGCAATAAACATTTACAATAAAAATCCGTTATTAATTTCAAGGGCAAATAATTGAATTTTCATATTGTTTTAAAGCTTATGATATTTGCAATTGACTTTGTGAGAGTAAAGATCTGAAAATAGCATGTAGTAGGGTGGTAGTTGGCCAAACCCTCGTAGCCACATCCTCGATCAATAAGATCGATTCCCAAGTCAGAGAGTATCCGAAATGAGTAGCCGAGTACCGCTTGCAGGACGACCTGGGGAAGCTGATTGGCGAGGTGTGCCAGTGCATTCCACACGGCATCCTTTGCTTCTTCTCCTCGTATTCGGCGTTGCGCTCTAACGTGGAGCGCTGGCAGGACACTGATCAGTGGGAGGATTTCTTCAGGTGCAAGCGCGTGTTCGTGGAGCCGCGACAGCACCACGAGCTCGAGGAGACGATGGGCGAGTACCGAGAAGCCGTGGACAGCGGTGGCGCTCTCCTCCTAGCCGTCTTCCGTGGCAAGGTCGCCGAGGGCATTGACTTCAGTGATAATTTCGCACGATGCGTCATCACCGTGAGTACCTCGTTATCTCGTTATCTTCGAGCCCCAAAGAACCAGGTAAACGCGTCGACTTTAACCGATAACGCACGTAACCTGGTACCCTCGCCCCACGTGCCGCACTACAACCTATTCAATAGTCTTGGAACGTGCGAATTTAAGGAACTTTTGTCACTCCCGCTTCCGCTTGGCTAACTAGAGTAAATAAACTAAATAACAACAGTTTTAATGTAAAATTAATTAAGCAAATTAGGTGCTGTTATTAAAAAAAAAAAAATCAATAAATTTAAACATATATTTAGCGTAAAATCATTGTGGGCACAAAGACTGGACGATTAAATAACATTTGTTGATAGTATAATTCATTGCAATAAGCGTTTGGAAAGTACTGGACATGAAAAGTATATCGAGTGATTTAAATAATAATCAGACGAGCTATTAAAATATAAAAATTTTCTTAAAAGTGCAAGCCGTGATTTTAATTTTTAATTACTAAATGCATTCTGATAATACGACAAGTTTTTATCATTGTATAATTAAGTAAAGCCTTTTTTTTAATAGCTTAAATAGAATAAATAGAATATCGATTAATTTAAAGTTGGAGAATAATAGTAATCGGGAGAGGAATTATGAATAACATTAAAGTTAAAAATTCGTATTGTAATTGAGAATACGCGCGTACGCGCCAGCTTACCAAGCCTTGAATAATAATAATAATAAAATATTGTTAATGTCAATGGATTTCCGTATTGGCTTTCTTAATTATTTATTAATTTATTTATTTTTCAGATTGGTATTCCCTTCGCCGTACAAAATGATCCAGAAGTGAAACTAAAGCGCGAATACAACGATGTTAATCAAGATAAAGGTTTGCTGTTAGGAAGGGAATGGTACACCGTGCAGGCTTACAGAGCCTTAAATCAGGCGCTTGGAAGGTGCATTAGGCACAAAAATGATTGGGGAGCTATTTTACTTGTCGACGAAAGGTTCGTTTCAATTGTATTTGTAAACGACTCTCCTAACACTTTGTTCGTTTCATTTGCAAAAACGGGAATCGAATAATCTTAAAATATGATTTTACACATAATAATAACAGCCATTATGACCACATATGACAATTGTTTACAAATCTCATTAACAAACGAAAGAAATTAAAAGTATCGACAATTTCAACAATCATAAATGCAATTTTTGAGTATTAAGAAAAACAGCGTGATGGATACGCACATTGTAGATAAAAAAAATTTTTTAAATTCATTTACAAGATATGGAAAAAAAATATTACAATGTGTTAAATTATAAAATAAGTCACTATTGTTAGGCCAGATTTCTTTAAATATTTTAAAACTTTTAAATACAACTTAAAAATGTAATAACAATTTCGCTTTTGGCCTTCAGAATTAGTCGATTAAGTGTTAGTCGTGTGTTTTATCTAACATATAGTTATCACATATATATATATATATATATATATATATATATATATATATTTCGAATTTCATTAGAAATAAATGGAAAAGTACTTTAATACATCAAAGATTCGTTTTATTTTTAGATTGCAATCTAAGGAATCAGACAGCTACTTATCCAAATGGATACGAGAAATGGTTAATAATTTCATTCTATTATTGTAATTTCGTGAAATATAACAATTTCAATAATTTGTCGTTTTTTTATTTTTCAGAAACGTCATGCATCAGATTATAATCTTCGTGAAGAATTACAAGACTTTGTTAAACGACAGAGAATGCTAGAAAACGAAAATCCTTGAAAATCTTAATATTTATAGGGAATAGTTAAATATAAAAGAACTTTTGGTTTGTCGGGTATATAAGAATTAATTGATCAGTACTTAGACATCCAATTATACAAATTAATTTTTTAAATTTATTACTATGCGATCCAAAATATTTATACAATTTTCTATAATTGCGAAACATTAATAATATATCTTAAATATACACAATTTTCCTTAAGTCTTTAGAGTATCTCGTTTTTCAATCATTCGTAACTGTTTCTTCTTCATTCTCTTTATTTTCGCTGAATTCTGTATCTGTAAAAAGAATGTTATCGATATCACCTAATACAAGCTAATAAAAATATTAAGAATTTGTAAAAAAAAACTCTGACTTACAACTTGAACTACGTCGCTCTTTATCCTGTTTTCCTCCGCACGTTTCAAATTTTCCCTTCTCCTTTCCTTCTTTGCCTGTTTCTCCGCTTCCCTTTTAGCTTTTATGTCATTAGACAATTCTTTAACTCTCTTTAAATCTGCTCTCAATTTATGCTTCTTCTCTGTCGATATTCTAATACCTCGTGTTTTTATGATCGATGAAAATCTATTACAATAATAGCGATAATAATAGTACTAACTATCAACTAGAAATTGATTACTTATTGCTAAAAGTAGTTACGATGAAAGTAATAATCCCGTTTTACGTACTTTTGTCATTTTAATTGAAATACATATTAATAAAGCTTACTTTTTCTTCGGTTCTTTCCAAACTCTTCCAGACTTTGGTTTACCTCTTGGTATTATATTTTTAGTAATGTCTTTACCATCTACTTTATTGTTCCTTTTCCGATTACTTTTATCCTCGTGTTTGCCATTTGTTTCACTTTTATTCTCCGCTGATTCTTTGTTTGAATTTAATATGTCTTCGACACACGTTATTTTCTCCAAACATTCAATCATTTTTGTAAATATATATATTACAATTCACATGTGTAACATTATGAATTTGTAAGGTTAGGATTCGTTGGATTAAAATGACATCTGACGTTCATACTACGAAGTTTATTTAATTTTATATATTTTGCGTAATGCCGATAAAGCAAAATTTGCTCTAATCAGCCGTTCCTAAGTAATGGAATTCGGCATGTTGTCGTAAGAGCAAAATTTCTTCGTACAATCGTTGTAATCTCTCCAGGTGCACACTCATTGTTTGTTTTTGTATAAATTGTAGGTTAATTAAATTGGATTTTTTACAAATCTATCGTTTCATTGATTAAGAGTTATGGATTTGGTACAAGAATTAATAGATTCTCTAGATTCGAAATGTGGGTTAGATATAAAAGAGTTTGCATTAGACAGTATTTTAGGTAATGAGAAAGTTGCTGGAATCGTGTATGAATGTTTGAACGTAATTTTAATGATTTACAGGTATGACCGGGACGCAAGAAGGTCGGCAATATTTAGTGGAAAATCCAAAGATTTTAAGGAAGTTAATATTACTGTTACAAGATAACACGCCTAGGATAGCATTGAATGCTTCTTCGGCTCTTATAAACATCTCTGCCGATGAGGATGGAAGTAGCGCTTTGCTAATAATCTCAGAGTCATCCAAGTGCATACCAAAGGACAATGAAATCGATAACTTAATATATCTATGCTTCAGGTGAACAGAAAATATTCACGCTAATGAAATTAATTGCTTTCTCGATACAGATTACATATACGGGGAGTTTGGCGAACGGGTAGTGTGTAATCTCATACTATTTCCTCTATTATCTGTATCGAGGGATGTCGTACATAATTTGCCTAATACATTCACTCTTATAAAATTAATTACTTCTTTAATAATACTTTAGTAATATACTAAATCAACGTAGTAGCCTGGCAGATTCTTCTTGCGAGATTTTGTCTAATATGACACGTTCGAATGCCTTGGTGGACAGAATCCTTGCGTTAGCTGAGAGGAATGGCTTTACGTGGGACTCATTGTTAATTGCATTTACAACAACTAACTACAACTGGGCTAAGAATAAATTGCCTTATTTAGGTCCAATTTTTTGTAATATCACTCAGTCGCAGAAAATACGAAAGTACGTTTGTCATCCTGGGAATTAATTATAAAAAATTTTCCATTTGATATAATTTAAAACGAATGATTATTTTAGCTATTTGTTGGAGAAGGATCAGTGGGTGCTTAGACGATTCCTTTTGTCGGTCGAGCACAGGGAGAGCGTATTAACAAGACGTTCGATCATTGGGACATTAAGAAATTGTTGTTTCGACATTCAACATCACGACGTACTGTTGGGCGCGGATATCGATATTCTACGATATTTGCTGTTACCTTTAGCTGGCCCGAACGAATTAACGGCCGAAGAAAATGATGGATTGCCCGTATATTTGCGGTATCTACCGGAATCAAAAAGGAGAGAAGAAAATACTGAAAATCGGTACACAAAAACGAATTTTATATTTAATCGTATTCCTTTCTTTACTTCTCAAGATTCTAAAATATCCTTCGAACGTCATCTTTCTAATATCATCAAACGTTTCATCAAAGGCAATAATAATAATGAGCTATTTTAAGACTGGCAACAAGCAATATGGATACCAATGTGTTTATTACATTTAAGAATTTCAGGATTATGATACTTGAAGCATTGGGCCAATTATGCGCTACTAAAAAAGGACGAGAGTATCTTCGAGAGAATAACGCTTACATAATTCTCAGAGAATTGCATAAATGGGAAAAGAACAAGGCAGCTTTATTAGCTTGTGAAAACGTTGTGGACATTTTAATAAAGTAAGAGACTTTTCTCATCACTCTCTCTCTCTCTCTCACTAATCTATCTTCAACTTTGTAAAACTCGCTTTAACATATTTTTAAACTTTTTTTCTCCATCTTTATTTCAAATAATCCCAATCGAAAAGCATATCAACGATTATACACATTTTCAGAACCGAAGAAGAAATAGGAGTGGATAATTTGAAAGATATCGAAGTGCCAGAAGTGTATAAAGAGAAATTTAACGAATTGGATAAATTGTATCTCGAGGACAGGATAACAGAGCCTGAAAGTATTGGCCATCATTAGTGAAACGAGTGCTTTTATATTATATGTATAATTATTGTTTAAAATCGCCTAGACAAACTTATGCTTTTAAGTTATTTTATACGTAATGTCAATCGATATTAAATTTTAAAAATAATGAATTTTGTGTATATTGTATAAATTTATTTGAAATGTTGCATAACTCGTCGTCTATCTTTATTTGTCATTACGTTACGCTGTCGTCGAAATTAGCTACGTCGATTTAAACAGCATAGCAACTTATCGAATATTATTCTTAAAACTTATTAGATGCGCTAAACTTATAAAGTTAAATCATTTCGTGAAGTCAATGTACAATGAAAATGATATTTTCGCAACAACGCTCGCCCAGCTCATGAAATTTAATTTAACATCGAAATATCGTTCATTCGTCTAACACCGCCTCGATAACTCGTCGTTTTTCTCTCTCTCTCTCTCTCTCTCTCTCTCTCTCTCTCTTTTCTTTTCTACTAAAGCGATATTCGGTGCCTGCCACTTCCCAGCAAACGCCGTCACATCATATTTATCCGCAAGTCCATATTATAACAGGCGTTGTGTGATTACGTATTTTTGTATTTTCTTAAAGAGATATGAAAAAGTAAAATTTTCTCTCTCTCTCTCTCTCTCTCTCTCTCTCTCTCTCTCTCTTTCAATTTGTGGGTTTACTCGACTATAAATGTTCGATTAGCGATTTGATTAGGACTTTATGAATAGATAGCCTGTGAGAGAGCCTCGAGGGCAAATTACCAATCATTGCAATATCACGCATGTTCGTACTAATTAAACTATATAATTCGTCAAACGGTTTTATTTGCATTGACATCTCGTTGCACACTATTATTCCGTATTTCTCTCCGCGAATGAAAGAAAACGAGCGTTCGGTCACTCGGTTCACGCTCGCAAAGGTTCAAGAGCGAAAACGTTCGAAACGTTCATAGTCTACACCGACGAAAAAAAAAGAAGAAAAAAAAAGAAAAAAAACAGGCCTAAAAATGCAGATAAACGATCGATTCAAGACCTCATCATTATTAACGACGCGACCGCGCACAAACGATCGATAAATATTTTTGCCAATTGTACAACTCACCGCCCGTCTCACATTCATTAAATGCAAAGATCCTCGGTTTATGTATTAGAAATAAAAGTAGCTTACACGAGCCCCCACCGACCACTGACCGTTACACACGTTCACGCACGCGCACACATGCATATACAAAACCTAATAACGTTATAACCAAAGCTCCAAGTGCATTATGCGCCGACAGGCCCAAATTCCCAAGAAGAAAAAAGACCCCATGACCTCATGGACGAGGAGAGTTTGGTAATCGCAGAAGCTCAGCTTCTTCAGGGCAGATAGCCAAGCCCGGCCTCGAGGCTTATGGAACTCTTCAAGCTGGAGGTGCTGCTGGCCCTGCGGCCGATCTTCCTCTGCCCGGCAAATACTGCCGCGATCTCCGCGGTCTTCTTTATCGACAGTGCCTCGTGATCGCCCCCGGAACCGCTGATCCCCCGGCGAGCTTCGCCCTGGCAGCCTCTTAGCGGCAGCCCATCGTCCCTGTCGGTACCGCCGACGTAGATGATCCGGCCACGAGGGTCACGGGCGCTCACCACCAGCACCTTCTCACTCCCGGACGAGCAGCGGGACGCGCGACCCGGCGCAAACAGATCGTAGTCCAGCCCGAGGTTGTCCCTCTTCTCCTCCGGGGACGATGGACGGACCTGCGTGGATGGATGGACGAGGTGCATGAGGATGGGCATAGACGAGGTAATGGGGCCTTGGGAAGGCGGAACCCGGTTAAGTAACTTTACGCACCTTCAGGTACTCGAGGCTCTTGGAGGTGACGAGACTCTTGCCGAACTGCCTGTCGGGACTGCCGGCCCTGCTGATCGTACTCTCGGCAGGCAGTATGCCCTTCTGCCGGAGTTGCTCGAGGATACTCGGACCCGCGGCGGTCCGCTCCCTCGAGCAGTAGCACTTGTTGCTGTCGGAGCAGCTGTCGGTGTCGCAGCCGCATATCGTCGGGCCGACGACTTCCTCGGGCGCCTTCCGCGACAGCGAGCAGTAGCACTTGTCCGCTGAGATACAGGTGCAGGACTCCGAGTCGTAGCTGCACTCGCTGCAGCTCACGTAACCGCTGCTGCTGCGATTGGCGGTCGTTGCGGCGCGACTCATACGCCGACCTGGCGAGCAAACGTTACCTAGCGTCAGTAGCGGGAATTTCGTGGCGATCGGGTAGCGGTGCCATGGCTCGGTGGGTTCGTCGGCCGGTACTCGCTAGGCGTAGTCATTGCGCTGGGATGTTTGAGTTTGAGCGGTCGCTCGGGCCGTCGATGACGGGCAAAGGACGTCTGCTTTGTATTGCAGGATATCGATCTTATAACACGCTGTTGGTGTCGTGTGTTAGTAATGGTAGTAGTCGCCGGCAATTGTAGCGATGTCGAGCAGTAAGCGCAAGACTTTTATTTAACGTGGAAATTATTGCTTATCCTCAGCCGTGACCGTGATTATGCTCCAACACTCTTTAATCCTCTTATCAACGCGCCCAGCAACAGGGATGCTCTATCAATGCAATCTGTCGCAAATAACGTAAAATAAAATTTGCCAACTAATAAACGTGCATGATCTCGCGGTTAAAGGGACGTTTACGTTCGAGGAGTGCAATGTCGATGGGCGGTGGGATATGACGGGAAGGGGGAGAAGGAGGTGGGATGCTCGCTTAATACTTCATAATTCCCGGTAATTTTAAAGCAAATCGATCGTTAAGAACTGATAATCGGCGCGACATGGTAAATATGTAAAAGCCAGTACATTGCGATCGCGAGTATCAAATATCGAATTATCTTGTATTAGCGTGTTATGAGCGTTGCATTAGGATAAAATTTTTTTAATTAACAATTTAACAATGATTATGATTGTTATGACTATATGTAAATGCAAGGTATTCCAATATTAACGAGCTCTAGAGTTAGTTATTTATTGATATTACTTGTCTGTAACGCGTATTCGAAATGATGTTCAATCGATGGAAAATGAATGAGCGGTTGAAATTCGGAAGAGTTTTAAAACAAAAAACATATGAAGAATAAGTAAATAAACGCTTTTATACAAAGAATAAATCAATGTTAAATTAAGATAAACGCATGATTAAGAATTACCGAAGTAAAGCTTTTTAAACACTTGAACTTTTTTTTTTCTTGTACAATAATACCGATCGATTCCCAGATTTACCCGGAATGTAACGCTGTATATAAAAATTCTCATTATCGATATCTTCGCTGAAAAGTGCGATACGTAATTCCCAGTCCCTACATTAATAGATGCATCAGCCTCCATTTTACACAACTACAATAATTAAAAAGACTAATGCTCGTTTTAATGATAATGATAATTACTATACAGGCTTACAATAAATTTGGAAGGGTTTATAGTTCACGTGCCGACCATACGACGGAGTTGTGCTCGCGCTTACGGAGGCCAAAATAATGATGGGAATGGCGATGGGGAGGGGAATTGGGGGGGGGGGTGAACCAAGACTGGCATAAATTAATTTATTAGTTGATTGTAATACTCAAGGGAATGGACGTATAAATAAAGTGTTAAATCAGCATTTGGCCACTTGAGATTGGCGGACAATAACGGCGGATAATGGAGCGCGCGTAGTGCGCTGGCGAAGGGCCCCCAGGGAGTTTCGTCACCCGCTATTCATTATCGATCTTAAAGGATCGCGGGATGCGGTGGACCGAAGGAGCGAAATAGTAAGAGTCGGCGCAACGGTTTGTTATGTGAGCGAAAGGCATCCGAGCCAATCGTCAATTAGACAAATAATATTTACAAGTGTCGCTGTCCTCGGAGGTGGTGTGCCCGGGGCGGCTCTTCGAGCTCGCGCACCTCTTGGCGGATCGGCTGCGCCCGAGCTTGCCCGCGAGGATCCTCGCTGCTCGTTGACGCTGGCTTGGGGCATCCGCGGTCCTGCAGCCGGCGCTCGCCTCTCGGGACGAGGTGCTTCCTAAGCTGGCGCGCTCGTTGTTGAGTCGTCGCGCCGGGTAGACGACGGAGGTGAACTCGGTCGGGCCGCTTCCAACGCTCTTGAGCCGCGAGACCGAGCGCTTGATCGCCCGACGCAGAAGACAGGCACCCCCGGCTCCACCGCCGCGACTCGAGCGGCGTCGCTGGGGCCGACGTCGGCGTCTCATTATGCTCGCCGAGCGCTCGTACAGCTCATCCTGGGTGAGCGTCGCCGCGAGCTTCAGCAGGAACTCCTTATACAGAGGCTTTAGATCGTTGAACGACATACCTTCGGGATCTGATGGACAATTGAAGAACGATTATAATTAATAGTTAATATAATAATAATAATAATAATAATAACAACAACAACAACAACAACAATAACAATAACAGCAACCATAATAATAGCAATGCTAGGGATTGGCGACTCTTTGATTTTTACTCAAACTTTTGCACATCGTACGCGCACGAGAGAGAGAGAGAGAATTGCCATTATCTATAATTTTTTTAATTGTGTATTTATGTACACTCTGGATCTACGGAAACAAATTAATTGACTTACCCGAGCTCGAGTATTAAAATGTAAAAGTTAGGAAATACAGAAATAAAATCGAGACAATATCGAGACAAAAAGGCAAATTGAACGTGTAAATTTCTTTGGATATTTTGAAGGCAATCGTGCGGTCTCTTATTCCTTCCCAAGTTCAATCAGTTAAACAACTTCAACGTCCAACGACTTTATCTAATTTACATGTACATGGAGTGTATAAAAAGCCAATAGAATTATCATTCGGGAAAATCTACCTAAGGATAAATGATAAGTATCGCACGGCATTGTTGCTGTGGCTATGAATGTGCGAGTCAAATTCGCGTTTTCTATCAGGACAATCGTCGAGCTAACAGGTCTTTCGGCAGGATTATGATGTAACCGGATCCGCCTTCTAATAATTCGACGTGCTCAATTGAAACTGGAAGTACAAGCGACGTTTTGTACGTTTGTCGGGCATACAACTCTGTGCCACTGAAACCTTAAAAAACTAGCCTTAAAAAATTTTATGCCCCAAATAATTATAAATAATTCGTATACAACAAACGGTTGGTACTTGAGAAATAATATTTCAGTTAGCGCGAGTTGTCGATTTGACATAATAGTCAATTTAAAGGAAAAGTCTGATTGATCTGTGCGATTTGTAAAATTTCAAAACACAAAGTAATACAATTTTTGCCTTATATTAATGCGTGCTTATTATAACTATTTAAAAGCTAATATGCCATTAAATTTTCTTATACGATAACTTTTTAGATACACCAAGTCCATCAGCTTTTGTTTATATAGCATTGCTTAAAGAAACAATTTTTTATCGCCTTTGATGCTATAAATCACTTTAGTCGTTTATAGAATTATTATGCGCATACAAATATATATATATATATATATATATATATATATATATATATATATATACATTTAAAAGTATGATTTTTCTAAATGTACGTATTTCTTTTACTGAATATATTAAAGCGAATGAAAAGTCAAGAAAAGTCGGCAATTATTGATTGTATTAGCGCGAACATTGCAGATCCACACAGATATAAAAACATGCGAAATATAAAATTAATCGAACTTTCTCGACACCGTATTCCCGTAATGTTATGTTTTTAACGAATACAAATTCTAAATAAACATCGCTTAACGTGAAACTTGATTATGTTCTAAGAAGGCAAAGACAAGTATTTCGTATATTTTATACAAAAGCGCAATTACTTTAATAATAAATTTTCCAATCAGTAATAAATTGTTTTCAATTATATATTCAATGTTTAATGAAGTTTCCAAATAATACATAAATACATAGCTTATGCCTTAAATTTTAATACATTAGGTTTTTTTTTTTATTTGATATATCGCCTGTTTTTAATAACTCTAAAGAAATCTTGGATATTTGGAAAAAATTTCTTTGCTCCGATTATTATATGTAATAAGATTTGAAGTCTTTTGCATTTAAGTAGGATAAATGAACGACGACGACGACGATGACAACCGCGGCCACAACAACAACAGCAACAATTGCAACGATGAAATAACATAATTGGCCTAATTTGCGTGCGCGTGGCATTAATGGAATTACTTTTATTAACAAATAATTATGCGTTTCGCTATTCAAATGTCGAGCAATGAGTAAATAAATATCTTTCTTGACGCGAAGAACAGCGGCAATGGATAATTCATACTTTTACCGCGAGTATTTGACGAAAATTTCAGCTCACTTTTGCACGGTAATTACGGATGTATTATCATCATATTCCACGTATAAACTTTAATTTACCAAGGGTTTCGCCAGAATTACCCCGGATTCTCTCTTACACAGTAAGAGACATTCGCGTGATCAGTGCTATTTATTGCAAGTGAAAGTAATTGGCCGAATGTGTTGCCCTCGGTACAAATTTATTCGTTATGAATATCGAGTTAAGAAGAGGGAGAAGGTGGAACTTACCTATTATGGCAGCAAGGATGTCGTCGACGCTGGTGAGACCCTCCTGGTTACGGAACTCGTCGAAGAGTTCCGTGAAGCCGAGAGGTGTGCCCGCGCCTCCACCTTCGAGGCTCTCGCGTTTCCGCACGCTCCCTGGTTTAAGGAAGCTGCCGTGCCGGGGCAACTCAACTCGGGTCATAAGGTCACCGCGGTCCAGGTCGAGCTCGCTCTGGGAGCGTCTGAGGTGAGCGGCGGCCGCAGCCGCGGCGGCCTCCGTTCGGGAGTTTGGCGGCTCGCTACCCGCGCGGTTCCTGCGCCGTTCCTGCATTGGGAAACACTGAGGCTGGACCTGCTGAGGCTGCCGCTGGGCCTCCAACTCGCCTCGGCGCAGCGGTCGATCCAACGTGGAGACGCGGCCTGGACGCCTCGAGGAGCGCGTCGACCGGTTGCCGGCCCCGTATCTCGGCCCCTGCGACGCTTGCCTACCGGGTGTCATTAACTTTATTAGCTAAATCTTGGGGATGGAGATGAATCGGGAAGTCGACGAGTGTGAAAAGCCTCGCGTGGAAGGCTTCGCGTGCCTCTGCCGCGGGTCCTCTGACGCTTGACAATGCCGAGATTATTAATAATTCCTTAATAGCCGTTAGGGAATGTAAGGGCTGCCGAGAGGAACGTTTACTTGTAATTTTTAATGGCGGTGAGGTACTTTATGAAGGCCGGAGGAATTTTTTCTTCCCTTGCGCGATTTCTTCGTTCATTCCAAGGTAACAATACTCGACAATAATACGACAAGTGATAGAGGACAACGGACTTTTACATTCTGATAAATATAGTTATGCTTGCAATAGGTAAATTGCAAATGAGCGATTGGTTAGGAATTTCCTCCGGTGAGACCTTCGCTGTGTTGAAATTGGCAATAAATACATGATTATAATATAGTCTTCATATATTTATTTATTTATTATATATATATATATATATATATATATATATATATATTTATTTATTGAAATGGTAAGTTGAGAGGTTTGCATTGTTATTATTTGCTATATCGATCGATTAAAATAATAGTTTTCTTGCGTGTCAATCGACGTTCCAAGTTTAAAATGTTTTTAAATTATTGTGACACTTAATGTCTAGCAATTTACTCGTGTTCTTTATAAATTTTTTTTTCCTTTCATATTTTCTTTTTACATACGACTTGAAGATTTTGATCGTATCCTAGTTTTCTGATTATAGTCTTTATATAGTCGAACGGTTTTTACTTGTTTTGAAACTTTTATTAAAATACTACATGATGCCTCTTTTTATTCTAGTCGAATGAGCCAATCATTTTATCCTGTATTGCTTGATTATGTTATCGAAGAAAGGAATTTTAAGAGACGTAGTAATATCATTTTTGCGCCATTTTCGATGCCATGTTTTATACGTAAAACACTATTAGCTTTTACTTTATAGATTACTTTATAAGATTTCCGACAGTATATTTATTTTGTAAAATCGACGATTGAATTGAAGGATCGAGATGATTAGTGAAGATGAATATTAATTAAAAGATCGAAATTTCAACAGGAAGGTATGCGTTAGCAAGTGATTGTGTCATAGACAAAGTCAAATGAAGGAATACGGAAAAAGTCTGTAGACTTAAGTGAGTCACGTTACGTTATCGTAAAGAATTACCGTTCTTCAATGTAATTAAAACGCCTTATATATATATATATATATATATAACTTTAAAAATGATTGAAATTTAATTTCCTTTACGAAAATGTAATAACCATAATTTTCTTAAATTCAATTATTTATAACTTACATCGTTGTCACTTGTAATAAATACTCGTATTACGAATAAATTACTAATTTAAAAATTTCATTTTGCATTTTATTGACCTTTTGAATTTTTAATTGTATAAAGCATCACATTAATACGACGTCAAGTTTATCCAGAAAATTTATAACAGCTACGGCGAATTATAGTTATTTACCATCTAATAATTCAAACGAGCAATATCTACAGTTGCCGCTGGATTACATTATTATCGTCGAGATAATTCACGATAAGCCTTGCTTAATGAGTTAAAAGCCTTAGATTACAATGGCCAAGTGTACGATTACTTTTATATTGAGCGTTAAGCTCTCGACACTGTTACACATACATTTTCAATTACATTGAGAGGCAATAGCTGTTCCGTGCCTCATGCGCCTCTTGTCCCTTAATGAAAATGTTTATCGATTTTCACGAGGCCGTAAATTAAACATCGCGACGAATAAATTCATCAATGTTGCTTGAGAGCGATAACTCATTGGCATTGAAGGAACGGAACCGCTTGATAAATATGGATTGGGGCATTAAGTGCGCCAGCTGTTAGCGTGAAAGAGCCAAGAGCAAAGATCCTTCTGCGTATAAGTTAAGAGAAGGCATAAATGCTCCGTACGTGGGACGCTCGGAGCAAATCGCCAGATCGCAGCCTCCGTTTTAGCGCCAAAGTGCGCCATTGCTTTGCAAAGCGTAAACGAATAATAACCTAGAATAACAGCCGAGTGGTGAGGATTGTAGCGAGGGGGGAGGGGGGGGGCGGGGGCGGCGGCCGAGGTAAGTACCCGAGGATCTCACCTGGTGGTGCAGGCAGTGTCGTAAATCCTGTCGTCGCTCGGGAGCTGATCGCGCTGTCCAAGCTGATAAATCTTCTCGGCGTTGCGAAAGTGATGGCTGTACCGGGACGCGAGGCTACGCTTGCGTCCCGTGTCCTCGTAAGCTTCGCCACGACACCCGGACAATGATTGTCCGCGACTCGACGACGACATGGGCAGACGTTGCTCGCTCATTGGCTGAAAAATTTAAAGCCCACGTTAGCGGGCGATTAGCTTTGGATTGCGCTCAATTCATGGTCACTTTATGCCAAATGCGCATCTAATGCACGAATTTCTTATCACTGAAGTTAGCCTCGCGATATCACAAATATTCGAACACCAGCGAGCCGTGCTCGAGTGTAAAATGTCATGTTAAATAAAATGCTACAATTGGTATGTTCGGTTAGCCCGGTCTGTCGCATCTTACGGCCATTGTCAAGTCCATCAAGAGGATAAAACCCGATGATAAAATCGATCTGGATGGATCGATTATTAGCATTGAAATTATATGAAATCTTCTCTTTTTCCATTCGGGCAATAATCCTTACATACGTCGCGTAAGCATCCTTGCATAAGGACGCGCTCTCGAGCAAGTAGTACATAGACATTTAAATTTTACAAACGATCCATCTTAAGCCGTTCTTTATTGGTCATTAGTTTCTTTTTTTGTTTTTTTTTTTTGGTTTTTTTTTTTTTTTTTTACTCTCTGCTAGACGCTTTGGCAATCAATGTCTTAGATACTGTTGACGACGTTGCTAAAATCGAGAGAATTTAGTAAGGAAGTCATTGGGGCGTAGGAAGGAAAATGTAGAGAGAACGTGGGCAATTTGTAAATGTCGACATGGGATGTATTGGGTAATATTCGATACTCCAGACTGATAGTTTAATTTTTAGGTGATTAAGGCCCCCCCCCCCCCCCCCCCCCCTAAAATTGACTATTATCTTATTATAAATTCCTGTGGGTAAACATTAGCCAGCGCCATATTGATCGATTCTACAAAAATTTTTTGGCTACGGATCAAATTGGAGGATGAGCGATCGTAGTCCTGTACCTTGGAGCTGACGCTATGAACTTCCGCGTAGATGCGGCTGCTCTCGTAGAGGGAATTTTCCGTGCAACAGTTGAAGTTGTAGGATCCGCAGCGTTCGTGATCGCTCGAGGACTTCTCGTTTTCGTCGTACGGGTCATCGACGACGTGGCCATCTCGGAATTTTCGCTGCTCGTAAATCTTCTCGATCACTGGCGCTTCGATCGCCTCGGTACCTCGGCAACGCGAGCTCCTCGACCCGTACATTTTGTTCTTGGCGTTCATGCGCCTCTCCTCGCTCGTCTCCTACGATGACAAACGTTTATTGCTTATTATTACGTGACAGGATCATCCGGGATACCATCGCCATCCGTTTTGGATATCCCTCGTAATGAGGAACAATGCCAAGGATTTCAGATAACAGACGCGAGAGACGTCTGTCGATGTATTTAGGATAAGTCTTCGACGATGGGGAATCTTTCGCTTTGCTATTGCCTTGCTTTTACGGAGTCCTATCGGAGATGAGGTTGAATGAATGGCCATTAATCTCGAATCTCCTAATCAATCGCGCAATTCCCTTTCCCACGTGTTTTACGTATGAAAGAAGTATTATCCAATGGGTTTCTATTTGTAAATGATAACAATCAAGGGGCAAAATTTGAATTTAAGGGTGATGAAGCGCGTATAGTAACGATTTAGCCACAAGTTTTATTCATAAATAAGAGGCTGTGCAAAGTGGATGACGTCACAAGCCCGAAGTCCTCGAGGATTCCTAACAAGGATCACTAGATCAATGGGGTGTTTGAGCGATGAGGTCTCCTCGTAATCAGTTGGTAAACGTGTTTGGTAAAAGAGATCGCATTAAGTCACTGGATTCGTCAAATCCATCGAAACAATGATTGGGGGTCGTGACCTTCACGGTCGGGAAAGCTATCGTCAGTTGCATACTAAAATCATGAAGATACCTCACCTTCGGATGTGATGATGTCCGCAGACTGGCGTTGTTGTCAGGGTGCCTCTCTTTGGCCTCGACCTCGTTATTATTGCCGGATTGGCTGCCAAGCCGACGACTGTGGGCCTCGGTGACGTCCTCGGTCTTCGAGACCACCGAGTTGTTTTTGTCCATACGAGAGGGCTTCTCGCCGATGCTCGCACTGCTGCTCGTCGGGCTGCTCTTCTTCGAGCGTGGCGGCCTCACCTACGCATTTTAACGCCTTGGCTATTGAGCGACGATTTTTTTCTGGTGGGTGCGCGGATTTTTATATTCGACGAGGGCACGACGGTAGTCACGACCACGTGATGAAAGAATGTTAATTATTAGCTTAATTAACACTTTATGCATTCAGGATTATTGACGGAGAGAGGAGGATGGGGGGGGGGTGTAGCGAAGGGAAGATTCAGACCGATCGTACCGGCTATTAATGCGTTCGTTTAAACAATTTAACTGCCTCCTGCGTAGGCAAAATCTCTGCTACTTCGCAATCCTTAATTGCTTAATCCTCTATTTTTTCCCTATCGGTTTTCATCAGTCATTATTCTACATAAGCACGTAAAGAATGAAATTTAATTTCCTTCTGTCGCTTGTCGATGGAACGCGAAGTTGAAAACGAAGTCCTCGCTGTTTGGTTTCTCAAGTGATCTAGCTCTAAGAATTCTCGTGTACGTATGGAAAAAAAAAAGATAAGGAAAGGTCAATGGTGTACTTGTGCGCAATGAATTGTAATAAAATTCACACGTAAGAATTTTATTAAATGTAAGCTTCGTTTGTCCGAGTCTTCGATAACGAGTCGCAGCTTAGGTTGGGGAAAATTTTCTATTTACGAAACAAATTATTCTACTCTTTATTTTCTCACATTCATTTACCATTTGAATAATGCATAAATCATCTTTAAATAAACGACAAAGAGTCCACTTGGAAAAGTACATAGGAATAGCATTTAGTATTTGTAGTGGACCTTACAATACATTATTTCTCACATGAAATTTCAAATTTAATAACAACGACGATAGATGTAATCATGAGGATAATTAATTTGAGTTTTCTTAATTCTCGAGCGAGCATTTAATTGTGTAATATTATGAATAGAGCCTAGACCTAATAAGTCGGCAATTGATACTCGTAGAAATTTTTTTCATATTAACGAATGGAGGACTGAGTTATTGGAAGGCAACTTTTAATTTCCATTGCAATTCATCTTGAGAGATTTGTAAATTACGCAGCATTATAGTTCAACTTGCACTCCGCCAAATAAATTCATCGTGTATCCTAGGGAAGTTGGAGGCACTTACCGGCTGTCGATTGGAGGACGGCAGGGGGGGCGGGAACGGCGGTGGGGGCAATTTAGGCCGCTGAAGCTCGAGACGCTTGGTCGTGAGGACGCTACTGTTGTCTGGGACGCTGGAGACGACGGAGGCGAGGCTCGCGCAGCCGAGTCCGTTTCTCTGCCTCGGTCGCCGGGCGGTGGCGTCGAGGTCGGCGAGGAGGGCGCGGTAAAGGGTCGCCGCAGCGGCAATCGCGTCCTCCTCGCAACGGCAGGCGAAAGCGTGGCACTCAAGGAGTCGGGCGGCGCCCGGTCGTCGCATCACCACAGCGAAAATTGGCGGGTAGTCCTCCACGTCCTTGGCGAGACCGCGCATCGTGCGGTAAAGGTCGGCGTGGCGGTCCTCGCTGTTCGTCGTGCTGGCGCTCGGGTCCCGCTCCTCGGACACTAAGGGCACGAACGCGTGCACCACCTCCTGCT